TTCTTGAGATTGGGAGTTCTCGGATGGGCGCTGTACCAGGATGACGTTGCCAGGCCCTACCTGAAGTAACAGCCCTGGCCTGTTCCAGTGGGCTTTCTCCCATCCATGGAAGTGGGGTGGGCCTCTCCTGTTAGCCCTGGATTCTGTACCTCCTACTGGGAGTCAGGCATGGGAAACTGAATCATGAGTCATCATCAACTCAATGCACTACAGAATTAAAAAATAATCAAGCATTTCACACCCATTGGATGAGCAGAAAGTTACAAAGTCTGATGCCCTGCAAGTGTGGAAAGAATGAGGAACAACAGAAACCTTCATTCACTGGTGGTAGGAGACAGAGAAGGCCCAGGTTTAGCCTGAAGCTTAGTTATACAATTCAATTTATACAAGTTATACAATGCAATTATAAATATACAGCAAATGAGGCTGAGTCTTGGGAGGGACCTGAGTAGGTGGAGGTCCAGAGCTTAATTCAAATCTATCAGCTTCCTTATATAAATCTGATGTTGGGATGTATCAATTAGAGTAACTCTTTGGGACTACAGCGTTGTGACCGCTGGGAAAATAGACATATGGCTGTCCTATGTCTTTGCAAACTAAACCCTCCATGTCTTAAAGGAGACATCTGCAGAAGCAATTCCAAGAATGTTCTGGCAATATTGCAAAGGCTAACAGTAATAAATAGGAAATGGTCAAAATGTCCATCAACAGATACAGTGTCAATGTGTATAAACATGTCACTTATTATAAGGGATGTGTGTAACATGATACAATTTTTGTAAAGTGTGAAACGTAAGCCAATGCCTTGCTTATAGTTAGGTGTGGGTGTCTAAAGTAATTCAGGGAGGGGTGTACATCATGCTCAGCCAAAACAAGATACCCAGTTAGGTTTAGAGCACATCTGGCTAACTTGGTTTCCTTAATGCCAAGAGACAAAATATTAAGCTTTGATAAATTTGAGCAGTACTATGTGGCTGCTTGATATACATACTTTTTGTACTACTTGAACTACTTCTTAATTTTTTTTGAAAACTGAGATGTAATCCATCTATCATAAAATCCACATTTAAAATTGACCTATGTAAGCCAGGTATTGGTGGCTCTTCTTTGTAATCCTAGCTGTTCAGAAGGCTGAGAATTGAGGGTAGCAGTTTGAAGTCAGCCCTGGCAGGAAAGTCCATGAGACTCTTATCTCCAATTAATCACCAAAAAAGGCAAAAGTGGAGCTGAAAAGCTCAAGTGGTAAAGCACCAGCCTAAAAAATAACTGACAGCACCCAGGCTCTGAATTCAAACCCTGGAACTAGCACACACATACAACTGACTAGTCCAATGTCAAAGAGTACATTTATGGGGTTGTACAATCTTCATATCTATATAATTCCAAAACATTTCATCACCCTGAAAGGAAATTTATATCCATTAGGCAATTATTCCCCCTGCTCCTTTTAGTCCCAAGCCATTAGTTTGTGTTCTTTCTCTGTGGATTTACCTATTTCAGATATGTTACATAAATCAAATCATACAATATGTCGTCTTACTTTGCACAGTTTCCAAGGTTTATCAGCTTTGTAGAACAAATCAGCAGTACTTCATTCTTTTCCAGGGCTGAATAATATTCTATTAAAGGAATATACCACACTTTGTTGAGTCAGATTATCTGCTGATAAACATTTGGGCTCCTCCCACAAGTACACCTCTGTTGTACTCATTTGAGTTCTGCTTTGAATTCAATGGTTATTCACCTGGGCACGGAACTGTTGGACCATAGGGTAGTTTTTGGAGAAACCACCAACTTATTTTCCACAGTGGCAGAACTATCTTAAATGGCCATGATACACAAGCATTCCAGTGCCTCCAGATTCGGAGTGCTACTTGTTATTTTCCATTGGAGGGAGGTGTGTTGTTTGAAAGTTTCATTGTAGTCTTTGTTGCTGAGCTCATTTTAAAAAATAAAAGCCAATTAATGGGTCTGAAGTAACATTTCCTTTTTTCTTTCTTTTTTCTTTTTTTTTGCTGGTCCTGGGGCTTGAACTTGGGGCCTGAGCTTCTTTTGTTCAAGGCTAGTGCTCTACAATTTAAGCCAGAGAGCCATTTCCAGTTTGTCTGAATAGTTTATTGGAGATAAGAGTCTCACAGACTTTCTGCTCAGGCTGGCTTCTGTAATCCTCCGATCTCAGCCTCCTGAGTAGCTAGAATTATAGATGTGAGCTACCAGCACCTGGCAGTGATATTTCAATGTGGTTTTTATTTCATTTCCTTAATGACTAATGTGATGGTTGGGCATCTTTTCATATGTTCATTTGTATTTCTTCTTTGTAGAAATGTCTGTTCAAGCAACTTGTCCATTTTAAAACTGGTTGTCCTTTTGTTGTTGAGTTACAATATTCCATAATGGAAGAGAGCCCTCCTAGTGACAGCTAGTCTCTCTTTTGAGCTTTTTAATTCTCCATTCCTTCCACATACCAAAACATATACATACAACCCTTCATACATATAATCCACAAGGAAAGATTAAAGGAATGGTATCTGCTGTCCCTTTTCCCTCATAGGCATCTTGTGATTCCACTCTCAATCTAAAAGAGAAGAGAGAGTCACAGATGACATGTGAGACATCTGAGAAATCTTGAGAAGTGACAGGTTGTGTGTGTGTGTGTGTGTGTGTGTGTGTGTGTGTGTGTGTTGGGGGGTAATAGGAGCCATAGTTGAGGAAGAGAAATACTCTTGAAGACAGGTAAGAGTGAAGTTTTCCAGACAAGAGGAAATTCTTTCTAGAAACCTGTATTATCACAGGTCACAAAACCACATTGGAGAAGTAAGTTTCCACTAACAGGTGGCACAGATTTCCCACAGTCCAACTCTTTGAGGATCCTTCTGTCCCCTTCACAGATTAGATCGCCCTGCCTGGCTGAGCTGTTCTTACCCTCGGGGCCACTTTTTCCACCAGGCTGAGCTACAACGAGGTGGCAGAGAGAGCCCTGGAAGCCATCCTTTCTGTAAAGCCAGACCATACTACCTGAGCTGGTGTGTGTGTATATGCCTCTGTGTGTGTGTGTGTGTGTGTGTGTGTGTGTGTGTGTGTGACTTGGCAAAACTATGAAGCTCAACTACCACACTCATGTACTCATGATTCTTGTTATAATGTTCTTCAAACAGCTAAAATACAGTCTAAGTCATTCCTGGCCAAATTGTGACACACTAGGACCTGTTTTACTTACAAACCTTTCTGTCCTACTCATCTCACCATGAGACCTGCTCTGTCTTGATCAGTACACTCTCACTGTAGATCACCCCCATGTAAAGGTCTGAAGGAGCCACTCTACTTATTCCCAGGTCCTGACAGCATCTGCTCCTGTTCAGAAATCCAACATTGGGGAAAACACAGGCAAAGAGATGATAAAGAGAAGTATCCAGAGGAGAGAGAAGTCATTTGGAAAAAGCTGATCCAATGGAACTCTGTGTCTTAAAAGGGGTTCCTGCATTAGACCATTATGTCTATGTCAGATACATTCAGCTAGCACTGTCCCAGGGTGTGCTTGTCAACCTTGAGCTTGGAAGGAACGCCTGGAAGCAGAGGAGCTAGCTAAAGGGCTGACTGCCCTTGGACAAACCCTTTCCTACTTTGTGCCCAGGGGAGTCCCTATCTCTATATGGTGTGACTAAGCTTAGTTTCCAAGGTCTCTTCCAAACATTACTTCTGTGACATTCATTATCCACACACCTTGAAGTCAATCCGGATACAGGTTTGGGGTCAAGCCCTCACTACAAGTTTCCATACCATTGCCCTTCCTCATTTGGTGTTCAATCTCATCCCCCCCACCCCCTCCATCTGAAGCTAGGACCTGGGGCTGGGAAGGTGGCTCAGTGGTAGAGTGTTTGCCTTGCATGCATGAGACCCTTGGTTCGATTCCTCAGCACCACATAAGCAGAAAAAGCTGGAAGTGGTGCTGTGGCTCAAGTAGTAGAGCGCTAGCCTTGAGCTGAAGAGCTGAGGGACAGTGTCCAAGACCAGAATTCAGGCCCCACGAACGGCGAAAAGAAAAGAAAAGAAAAAAAAAGCAGGACTTAATAGGTAAATAGGTGGCTTCTTACATTTTCTTTTTCAACCAAGATTACTCTGTTACTGCGGTGGTGGCATAGGAAAGAGTGTCCGTGCGCTGCAAGGAACGAACCACACCCACAGAATAAATAAGGCCCACCCCTCCAGTTAAGTGCCCGTGACTTCTGGGCACCTGAGGCTGATGGGAGTCTGAAGGCTCCAGACACCATGAGCACTATAGTAGGAGCTCACACTAGGAAACTACCTAAGTCACAAGAGCCACACAGCAAGGCAGGACCAAGTTCAGGTACCCAGGCACAACCTAAGATCAGCCAAGGCTCTCAAGCTCACTCACCAGTCCTGCTCATCTCCCCCAATCCTATACACAGGGCAAAATGACTGGCAGAGTAAACTATGACCTTGGTCATTTTCTGATTTCCCGTTCAAATCTGTCCCAAATACATTCGCTTGCCAGAAAACTGCGAAAGTCCGAAAAGGACAACCCAGATCCAGTCCTTCCTCGTCTCTAAACCTCAGTGAACAATTCGGAGGTTTCTTTTACAGATTTTTGTTTGTTTGTTTTTGGTAAGGAAACCATCCTGGGTGGGAAAGAGGGAGCCCTTTACAAAGACACTGCGCTCCAGCAGTGTGGCAAAATGCGGAGATGAGGTTTCTCCCAGACACCCCGGGCTAAGCGAATCCGAGTCTGGAGCGCAGCTTTCCAACCAATGAACAGACCCCGCCTGTCCAGCGCCCAGTATCTGATCTGGGTTACAAAGTTGTTTTCTTCACTTAAGTCTTGGAGACTTGCTTTCCCCATTGTCCCACTAGAAAGGGACAAACGACCAGGGCTGGGAGGATGTTCCCAACTTGACCGTCACCCTGTCCCCAGCCAGCGGTGCGCGCCTCAGCCCCTCCAGTCCCGTCCTGGCTTGGGCGTGGGGGAGCGCAAAGCAACTCACAAATTCCAAGACGAAGAGCAGGTCAGGGAAGGTGGCGAAGACCGAGAAGCCGCTGGGCAGGGTGCTGCCCCCCGAAGCCGCTGCAGGGGCCATGCCGGCAAGCTGGCGTCGGCCTCAGGACGGGACGCGCGCGCGCGGCTCCGGCTCGGCTTCCGCGCTGACCGCTCGCTCCTTGCTCTGCGGAGCCCAGGAGCCGCGGCGTCCCGGGGTTAAGAGCCCGGGAGCCCAGGCAGGGGAAGGCGGAGCCCCAGCCTCACGCCCCGCCCCCGAACCCGGCCCCAGAGACCCGCGGCCAGGGCCGTACCGAAGTTCACCCAGCGCTGCGGGAGACATGCAGAGCTGGGGATTGGGGCCCCATCTCCTTGTGGGGAGCAGAATCAAGCCACTCTGATGGGGCGCTTCAGAGGTTTGGCCCCTTCTCAGGTGATCTCTATCTTTTTAGAAAGCAAGCCGTCATAACCTGGCCCCCAAATTTCCCCACTTAAGGTCACGATTGCCCTAACTCAAGTAGGGTCTCCATCTTTCTGCGCGTCGGAGACCGCGATGGGAGAGGTGTGCAGGGAATCTATGGGGCAGGCAGGAGCAGAGGAGATTCCTGGTACTCTGTATGCAACAACCCCTGATACCCCATGTCTTTGGGCTGTGTTGAATGGTTGTTTTGTACCTTTTTGTTCCCCCTGAACACCACACTTTAAAAATTCTTTTTGTTGCCTTTATTTTTAAACAAGTACCACATTCTAGGAGGTGGCTTTAATATTCGTAGCATTATGACTGAATTTTCTTTTCTTTTCTTTTTTGGGTCCAGTCGTGGGGCCTGAACTCTGAGCCTGGGCACTGTCCCTCAGCTCTTCAGCTCAAGGCTAGTGCTCTACCACTTGAGCCACAGCTCCACTTCCGGCTTTTTTCTTTTTGCTTAAGTGGTGCTGAGGAATCGAACCCAGGGCCTCAGGCTTGCAAGGCAAGTGCTCTACCACTGAGCCACCTTCCCAGCCCATGACTGAGTTTTCTGTACACATACAACTCCTAAACTCTGCCCACAGCACAGAGCAAGTGGAGAGGCAAGCTCCTCAACCTCTAGCTCAGACCTCCAATGGCAAGCGCAATCATCCCATCCCTCATCTTCACTCCCTGTTGCTGCTACCAGGGCAGTGTCTCCCCTTTCTCTAGTGAGGGCTTTGCTCTTTGCCTCTACACAGCTCTTTTTCCTTCCTAGGTCCTACAGAAGGAAGTAAATTCCTGGACATAGTACAAAAGCCAAAATCCATGTCTATGAGCTGGGGTCAGGCATTTCAAATGGGAAAATCCCACTGTGTTTCTGTGAGCCTTTTGGAGTCTATCAGCCTTGGTGGCCTGTTACCGAATGTCCCCACCAGCTCTCCAGAGCAAGACCTCTGAGGTCATGCTAGGCTCTTTGCTGTCATCACATTCCCCAATCTGCACTTACCCTGTACTTCTTACAGCTCCACAGTTGAACCTGCTGGCACCTGAGAGACTGTCTTCTTCCCAGGAGACTGCAATGGAGACCAGCCTCTAAACAAAAAAGCCACAAAAGCCACCACCAACAGGGAATGAGATAACCCTGTAAGAACTCCAACCAGGGCTGCCCATGTGATGTATGTTTATAATACACACAAATCAAAAAGACATAAAGACACCTGGTGACTCATGCCTATAATCCTAGCTACTCAGAGGCTGAGAGCTGAGGATCACAGTTCAACCTCCATCTAGCCACCAAAAAAAACTGGAAGTAGAGGCATGGCTCAAGTGGTAGAGCACCAGCATTGAATGGAAAAAGCTAAGGGACATCACCCAGGCCCTGAGTTCAGTCCCCAGTACTGGCACAACAAAACAAAATAAACTACAAAGGCACTATCAACTCATTAACATCTTTGCCTGACCTTGAGGTTTTGGTTGTGTTTTACTTTGTTTTTACTTCACTACTTATTCCATTTTTTTGTTGCTAAGTACTTCACATTCCTGGCCTGTGCTTTTGGGAACCAGTTCTGGCTTCCAGCATGCTCCTATGAAGCTCAAAAATTCCTCCCTTCCTTGGGGAAGGTATATGGTGACAAAGGCTCCAAAAGAAGCTGCAGAGGATTAGGAAGGCAGGCTGGCCAATGTCAGGGGCTCAGCCTTGTCCTTTCTTCTCACTTGGAGTCTATTGCTTGATATCCTCCATTCTAAGTAGACTCTGCCTGCCATCTTCTTCTCTTACCTCCCAGGATATTCTTGGCAACTAACCAAGGCCCAGCACTGAGCCTTCCGATGCCACAGGCCCCATCTTGTGTGCGTGTACCACTCCAGGAGGAAATGGAATGGCTCGTTGGAAAGAACATTGGCAAGTGGAGGTGGGTCAATCTTCATTTTCCAGCAGAGCTTTTGCAGGCCACTTGCTGATGATCTAAGTGGTTCATATTGATAAGAAATGCAGGCCAGACTTGGCTCCAGCACTACATGAAATCATTGCCTCAGACAATAGCTCTACAGTATTCTCAGTCTCCCTAGCAGCAAAGCAAGTATAAAGTCAGGTGTTGGTCTGTAGCCTTCATCAAATTATAAGATGGGCTAGGACAGGTTTCTATAAAGCAGGAAGTGGGAGGTTATGACTTCTTCAAAGCCGGAATCAGTGTGATGTCACTTCCAGCTTGTGTGTGGGTTGGAAGGAACCAACTGGGGAAGGAAGTGATGCATTTGGGGAAATTGGTTTTGAAACAGTAAAATGATTGAAGTAGAAGGCTCAGAAGGGGTAAGCAGCTGTTTAAGCACACACAGCTGCCGAGTGGTAGAACTCAGCCTTGAACTTGAATGATGGTGGCCTTCAAAACTTTAAGTAGTTTTGATTAAGACCATGCTTGGGATGGGCAACTGCCAATCAGATGTCATACTCTTTGCAAACCATGGGTTTCCCTGCATGGCACAACACACTGAGGACCCCTGCTGGGAGGCTGGATCCATGGCTGACACAGCTGCTTTAGCATCTGAGGAGAGGGAGGCTGGTATTCCAAGACTCCTTGGAAGGCACTTGGCCCACATGACTTCCTTAAATCCCCAGTGTCTTTCCAGTAGATGTCACCCTTGCTCCCCCCCCCGCCACCCCAATCCAGGCCACAGGGAAGGCAACTGGGCCTCTTGAATCCAGAGCATGCTGTATCCCCTTGTTATACAACACCCACAAAATTGGAAACTGGAAGAGGTGGCTGCATACCAGAGGTCTATCCTTTGGTGGGCTCATGGGGCTTGTGGTCTCTAGTGACAATAAGTCATAGCTTGCTCCATTTTTTTCTTTTCCCAGCCTCTTCTAGTTTCTCATTTTCTAGTGCTAGAAAGACATGGCACTCTGCCACTGTCTGAAACCATCACCAAACTCTTCAGACTTGGAGTACAAAGCAGCATTTTGAGGGTATATGAAGGGTAGGTGTGAAGGGCAGGAAATGAATAGGGAAAACAAACCCTGCTTCCTTGGAGTTTTGTCTAAAAGGACATCATGCTCAGGTTGACAGATTCTGGCCAGGCCCTTCTATGGGCTGGGTCTGCACTGGCCTACAGGAGAGAGAAAGCAGAATGTCCACAGTTACAGGAATCTAGGCAGAAAGGAACATGTGTTTTGGAAGAACAGAAGGCAAGGCTGATGCTGGCAGGGGAGACCAAGGGACATTTTGAGGTTGTGTTGAATGCAGATGAGCAGAGAAGCCAGGAAGGATGCCAGGCCCAAGAAATGGCATCAAGTTCCTGGAGGCAGAAAAGCCTTTCATTGAAAGGAAGAGAACAACAGAAGGCTGGGCTCAAGGAGAAAATGCAAAAGCCCAAAGGTAGAAAGCATAGGAGCTTTCTATATTCCTGTTCTTTTGACTCACTCAGAGCTCCAACCAGTACAGGAATAATGGTAAACTCATCCTTATGGCTTTCCATGGCTTTAGCTGTGAAACTTTTCAGTAAATATCTAGCGGATCCTAGTAACCTCTTTGTGGTTTCTTCTGATTTCTGCCATTGGGGTCAAAGGTTCCATTACAGTTACTATGATGAATCCCAGGGGGAGATTTATAGATCCATTGAACATCTAGATAAAATGGGTATGAGTATTATAGAGCAATTAGATCCTGTATTTTTAGCAATTACTTGAAGAAATACCATAATACTATATGTGGAAGTTATCCTATTGGGGTGTTATTAAATGCTATCATAGAACTCCAGAAGAATGGGATGAATATGAGCTTTTCTTTTTTGAATTATGCCCAGTCCAGCCAGTGTAGAAGCTGGCAAGACAGTTCAGTGAGTTATGCGGCTAGAGCACTCACGGTCCACTGAAACTGAATCCTCAGGGATGCCACCTGCACATACTCATGTTCTGCCCGGGTCCCAGCCCAGCCCTTACCGAGACACTGGTTTTGGTTGGGGGGGATTCTGAAACCTCAAACTAATAGAACTTTCTTCTCTTCTTTTCTAGTAGGTGTTGTCCTTCTTAATTTCAACTCATTAAGTAAATGCTTTATAGTTTTGGGCAGTGGAATGAAGGTTGGCATCAAAAAATATTTTGATTAAAAGAGACGTCAATGTAAAGGCCAAATTGTGGCAGTTTTTTGGAAGTGACTTGTAAAGCATTTATCATATCCTAAATTTGCACTCTTTGCAGACTTGTGCACATAAACTCCACTTTCAAATAGTTTCGCAAATTGTACACAAACAAAATAAGCGTGGAAGCTTTCTAATAAAGAATTGCATTTATAAATGATCTGTATTAGAATACAATAAACCCCAGTTAATAGACAATTACTACCCATGCTGTACAACAGATACCTTCTATTTTAGTTGCTAATAAAGGGCTACACAACTCAAAAAAAAAGAAAGCATAGGAGCTTAGTCATTTTTTGACTGGTCAGTCCCTGAGAATGGCAGCCTTACCTCCTTCCCAGGACTCTTTTTCTGGGGAGGGGCCAGGCTAGCACCACAGCAAGTAGCTCACCACCTGTCCAGCAAGCTGCACCAGGGTTTGGGTCCAACTTGATCAAAACTTCAGGAAACAGAATGACACACATTGAGAAGGCTGGTCCAGTGGGTTCCGAGAATGTAGTCCTGGCAGGTTCAGGGCCAGGCAGGCCCTCTCTACATGAGGCACCTTTGCTGGTGGTTTCACTTACAAAGCCCTCAGATGGCCTTTGCCACACAGCATGCCTTCTTAGCTCATAAGGCAGCT